GGCCGGCGAGCGCGGGCAGCGCCCGGCCTGCCCAGCGCCCGCTCAGAACTTGCCCTGCTTCAGCTTGTCGATGTGGTAGGTGAGCTTCAGGGCCGGCCCCAGCTTTAGCCCCATGTACTTCATCATCATGTCGCTGCGCAGCAGGAGCAGGGCCTTCCCGTCAATCTCCTGCAAGGAGCAGAAACAACCCCGGCGTGAGCCCGGCCCCGCTCTGCAGAGCCTGGGGCCAGGGCACGTGCTGAAATCCTGCTCTTGGGCGACAGAGGTGCTCCCAACCCCGTGCTATGTCAAGCTGGGGGATCAGCAAATCCTGAGCAGGAACAGGAAGCAAGGAAAAGCAAGGGATGCAGGGCCTTCCCGTCAATCTCCTGCAAGGAGCAGAAACAACCCCGGCGTGAGCCCGGCCCCGCTCTGCAGAGCCTGGGGCCAGGGCACGTGCTGAAATCCTGCTCTTGGGCGACAGAGGTGCTCCCAACCCCGTGCTATGTCAAGCTGGGGGATCAGCAAATCCTGAGCAGGAACAGGAAGCAAGGAAAAGCAAGGGATTGTGGGGGGAGCCGCTCCAGAGCAGAGGAGGCTCCTGGGGGCCCATGAACAGAGCAAACTGCTCCAGCTCCCACCGCTCCAGCCGGGAACCCGGCCGGCCTCACACACTCAGCCCCTCGGGAGGCAACGGCAGGACACAGGAGCAGCCTCTCCTCGAGGCCACTGTCGCCACAGGGAGCTTTCTGGAAGAAGATACTCAGACCCTCAACCCAGTCCCACTGTGAAACCTGCAGCACTTTGCACACCGGAGAACAGGGAAAATAACCATGCCGAAAATCAAGGTCATAGATGGAGGCAAACGACAAAACCTCCTCACCCAAAGAGGAGGCCACTGTGCATAAAGCGAATTTCTGGAGCTCCTAAAAGTCCCTACAGCTGGCAGAGGAAGAGGGAAACGGAGCATCTCCACAGGGATGACTCCAAGTCTCTGATGCTTTACAGCTGAGAGGAGCCTGCCCCTCATTGAGGATCAGGAAAGGAGGGATATGAGGCCTGAAATGACTGCAGAGCAGCTTTGTACTCGGCATCTGCTCAGAGGTGGTTTTCAGACCTCACATCCCTTGCAGCATTCCTTCCCCGTGTCTCATTCTGCTTGTCCACGGTTTTCGAGTGAACAAGTTGTTGATAGCCCAGTTTCCACAAAGAAAGTAAGCACTGACTCACAAAGGAAAATAAGAACCTCCCCATCTTCTTCCTAAACAGAAAAACCACCCTATGGCAATGCCCAATTACGTCTCAAACTTAGTAAGATCTCCAATACTATCCGGTAGCAAGTTTGTTGTTTTTCCCTTAAAATAAAAGGTAAGTTTTTCTCCGAATTGCCATCGCAGGGGACTTTAATCTCTCAGCAGAGGGCTGAGCACTCTCTTGCATAATTAAACAGAGTATTTTTCAATTACTGGTGGTTCTAAAATGGAAACTAATTTTAAAAAAGAGGCTGCGTTGCCTCCCCCTTCTCCCGCCCTGGGGAGGTGCCGCAGAGCAGCTCAGCCCGAGAGCTGACGGGCCAGGCTGAGACTGTGCTCAGCCACCGGCTGCAGCTCCCAGGCACACCAAGCATTTTCTTCCAAGCTTTTCTCCTTTACTTCACAAGTGCTACCTGGTATAACATGGGCTGAATCCAAAGGCAGCGGAAAAGCAAGCTGCCTGGCAGGACCTGGGATGCAGAGCTGCCAGGATGTTTCTAACTTTAACTGTACAAATTCTGTGTTGTGTCTGCAGATGTTTACACTTAAGGGCATGTACACAGACCACAACATTAGAGAACCTCCTTTTATAGGAAATGGTGGAATAGCAACTTGATGAATTCCACCTGGGACACATGTGTTCTCGCTAGAGGGTGAATTTTAAGATTCCAGGGTGAATCCTTTTTTTTGTTTTTGGTGCTAAGGATACCACATTTAAAACCAGCTAAGGGCTGAACTCTTTATATGCACAGAGGCATCCCAAGGTTTAAGTGGGCTACCATGTCTTCACTTCTGTGAAGAGGAATCCTAAGCCTGAACATGTTGCCAGCAGGATTTATGAGGAAGTCTTTCACAAGACAAAACAGGCTGGAGCAGGGTGCTGCTGTTCTTCAGACTTTCCTAGATTTTCCTCGTGTGATGGTCTGCCCTGTGTGCACCTACACAAACACATCCCCACTCACATGTTTTCGGAAGAGGTCGGCGTGGGGCCCCAGCTGCGGGTCGGCCTCGCGTATGAACTGCATCACCTCCTCCACCGTCCAGGACGAGGGGTCTCGGCTGCTCAGCCGCGACGCATCTCGGGATCCCCCGTATCTGTCTGAACCTGCAGGGTGCAATCGCGAGACAGCAGCAGTTACTTGGAGCCTGACTGCTGCATCATTCCACCAGTTATTCCCATTTAATCTACCAATCAGTCTCCTTTCCCGAGGCGGTGGACGAGACCATGCGAGGGCACAACGCAGCCACGTCCAGGCGTATCCTGCTGCACCTCAGCGTTATCGTGTCTCTTCAGGCCTTATTTTCAGAGCAGCCTTCTACAGCCAGCTCCTTCATTTCCTCTACAATGTGTATTTCCCTCATCCTCTTTCAGGCCAGGTTTGCCCCACCGTTCTGACTCTCCTGACCATCTGCTGACGTTTCCCACTTGTACAGAAAGCAATCCTCTGTTCCCACGTGTTTCCCCAAATACCATCCCTCCCCTTCCTTCCCATCACTTTCCCACTCTGCACATTGTCTTTAGCAACTTTAACACGGCGAAGTCATTTGATATTTTCAGAGGCTGCATTTTCTCTTGGACTGAGCCTACATGCAAAACCCCATCTCTTCAAGCACTCCAGGAGCTGATGAAAGTCCCTTTTTCAGATTGCTGGGGTCAGCACAGCCTGTTGCTTTAGTTCTTCTGTGCACTTTACTTGTACACACAGACATTGCGGGGAGGCAGACAAACCAAGGCATTAGTGACCTGGTTTTGCAAGAGGCCTTTCCTCACTGATGCCACATACATAAAATGGTACCGATGCTCTGCAAACACTTGTATCTGACGAGTGCTGCAGTGCTGCCATGAGCTCTCCTGCTCCTCTTCCTCCACACACGCTTGCCTGTGAGGATCATCCACACATCCACACGCGCTCCTGGACGCCCAGCCCTGCTCCCACCATCATCAGGCAGTTCTCAGCTCTCTGGCCGCTCCCAATCCGTCCTCCCTGATTCAGACACCAATAGACAGCGGATAGACCCCTGACCACACTTGCAAGCTCAGCTCTTACCTACTTGCTCCTATCTACTGACCTCTAGGTCCCCATCTAGTCACTAAAGCAAATAGCTGGCCCTGCAAGCACCGTCTAGCTGTACTTCCACCCGCCCGTCTGCCACGTCTCTAAGAGCTACTGTTAAACCTAACAGACTACCTGGTTAACAGTGTAGAGGCCAGTCTCTGGTACTTGCTGAAGTTAGAAAGATGTAACTGGAGCTAGAAAAGCCCTTCATTGCCAAATTTACAACCGGAGGGCTGGCTTCTTAACTCTCTTACCCCCGGAGCTAAGCCTGCGCAAGGCGGAGGTAGTGCCCTGAGTGAGGCTAGAGGGTTGGTGCAGGTGCCTGTATCCCTGCAGGCGGTAGTCTCGGGAGCTCCTGCCGTGGCTTGATGAATTGACAGAGTTCAAGGCAGAGTCCATGGGGTCCAGGCGAGGCTCCAGCGCGCCCGGGAGGCCGTCTCCCAGGACAAAGGTTTCACCTGGAACGGCACCAAGCTGCAGTTAGCACGTGGCTGCCCACGGGGGGACCCAAGAACGCGGGGCAGAGCTGCAGCGGGGCCACAGCGGGCGCCTCACGCGCGTGGGCAGCGATGGCTACAGGGGTCAAACTGGACTCGTGGTCTCTGCCCATCAAGCTGCTGAGCCTGGTGTTTCCCTGGCCACTTACAGTCCCACCAGTTAGCAGTGATGTCTGATACCCAGATTTGAGCAACGGCTGCTCTGTTAATGCTGGCACCGTCTTCTTGCGCTCCCTGGCATGTCCTCTTAGTGATTTCACAGGACCTTCCCTCCATAGCAGACAGGCCTGAGGCAGGCAAGGGGGAGTGTTGTCTGTTCTCAGTAAAGACAACATTGCTTGACACCAACAGAACTCAGGAGCTCTCATGTGGGCAGGGAGGTTCCCAAAGATCCCGTCAAGCCCCATACATTTATGTGCTCACTACAGACATTAGTGTGCAAGGAAACGGCCCAGGCAGTTGAGACCGTGTTGGGTTTCCAGCAAACACCCCAAGCCTCAGGCTGGATATGAACACTCGGTCACACTGAGCTCCAGAGCCTCCCCCACAGCCACCGCTCACACACGGCCGATCCCGCAGCCCCAGCAGCAGGTCCTGTCTTTCGCATGCTGATCCCTTCTTGCTGGGCTCTCAACCACCTACAAAACTGGTGACCACCACCCTCTGCATGAGGGGATGTCCTCCTTTGGACACGACCCACGCAGGGGTAAGGAGAGCCGAGTCCTCAGCCTGGACAAGCCCGCTGCTCCTGCTGCAAGAGGACGGGGCCGCTGCGGCGCCCACGGGGACAGGGCAGAGGCTCTGCCCACGCTGGGCTCCCCCCGCGCTGCCCTCCTCTTCCAGACATACAACTAATTTGCATCGACTAATTGTTAATGATAACGTTGTGATGGACAGACTGAGGAAACTATCCTGGATGTATTCAAATGCAGAGAGCAACAGCATTGAAAACAGAGGATGAAAATGCTGAAAACAATGCGTTTCCAGGGAAAATAGCCCAAGAAGGGCGTAACTTCTGCAGTATATTACCTTGGATGCAGGCAAGCTGCATCTTCCTTACCTGGAGCACAGCAGCATCAATTTAGCAAGAAAATTTGGGAAAAACTCAGCAGCTTTCAGGCCTCATGCTGCAATGCCAACTCGGTGCCCTCACCACCTTCCATTCTCAGCACAAGAAGATGGCCAAACCCCCGCAGCTCAGCGGGACCGCCCCGGCCCAGGCTCAGATAGCACTTCCTTGCCTGAATCCAGACTAACCCACGGAATGGATGTGGCACTGGAAACTTCCATGTAGGAAGCACATACATACGGGAAGGTTTTTGTTAAAACATGAATTATTTCCCATTAAACCGCAGCTTTCTGGAACACCCAGGCAAAGGGGTGATGTCACGTGGCTTTCCCAGGTCACAGCCCGGCGCACTGATCTGGACACACTTATAAAAAGACAAGGAAACTACGGCTGGCGCAGCAGGGACATGGGTATGGAAACAGGCCTACCCAAAGGATTTAAGCAGCCTCTGTGAGGTAAAACTGTGTCAATTCACCAAGAAGATCCCCCAGATTTGCCAGGTGAACATGAATGCCCAACTGATAACGAATACACACCAACGCTTCCTAAGGGGCTGCACGTCAGCAAAAGGGCCCACAGGGGCCTCACGGAGCTGCAGTGACGCGACGCTGGATGCAGGATTCTTGGGAAGGAAGGTCAGGAAGGCACAGAGGGAGAGCTGCCCTCTGTGTGAGAAAGCAGCCAGAGCCCAGAGCTCTGCCTGGGGACACATCAGGGCCCTGCTGAGAGCTTGGGGGCCAGGATGAGCTGGGGGAGCCCCATGGCTGGCACTGGGGGCGTCTGCTGTAGATCTTTTGACCAGGAGCAAGATGGAGATGTCGTCACCTTCAAACAGCAGGAAAAAGTTCTGTGTTTGCAGGCTGTGGTACTTGGGGGAGCTTCAAACATGCTGATATCTGCTAGAAGGACAACATGGCAGGGCACAAACAACCCAGGATGTTTCTGGAGTGCCCTGGTGACAATTTCCTGATATGGGTGATTGAGGAGCTAGGGAGAAGAGGCGCTTGGACCTCAAACTTACAAACAAGGAAGAACTGGTGACACATGTGAAGGTCAGGGCAACCTTAGCTGCAGCATCCATGAGATTGCGGAATTCAGGATCCTGAGAGGATGGAGCAGGGCTAAAAGCAAGACCACAACCCTGAGCTTCAAGGGAACAAACCCTGACCTGTTCAGGGACCAGCCTGGAAGAATCCCATGGACTATGGCTCTGCAGGGCTGGTTGATACTCAAAAATCACCTTCCGAAGCTCAAGAATGCTCCATCCCAGCAAGGTAGAAATCAAGCAAAGGTGACAGGAGGTTCACATGGATGAACACGGAGCTCCTGACTAACCTTGACATAAAAAGGAAGTGTCCAAGAAGGGAGAGCAGGGAGAAGTGACCCACAAGAAATACAGATACATACTCTGAGCATTCACAAGTAGCTAAAGCCCACCTAGAACTGAAATCTCCAAAGGTCAAGAATGCTCCATTCTTGGAGGAGGTTCACATGGATGAACACAGAGCTCCTGACTAATGATGACATAAAAAGGAAATGTCTAAGAAGGGAAAGCAGGGAGAAGTGACCCATGAGAAATATAGATACATACTCTGAGCATTCACAGGTAGCTAAAGCCCACCTAGAACTGAAATTGGTAAGGGACTCCAGAGTGCAGCTTTACTGCTAAAACACAGAGTCCGGCCACAAGTACCTTTGCACAACTGCTAAACACCCCATTTCCACAAAAGCAGGTCTCCGCTGTGCTGGAAGGGCAGCGCTGGAGCAAAAAGCTACAAAAGTGAGAGCAGCTCTAAGAGGAAAAAATATTCGAGAGGAGAAATCCCCTCCTCATCTTTCTGACTTCTTGCCAAGGACACCTACTGCTCCTCACAGCCCCAACTATTCTGTGAATTTCTGAGCTGACCTAGTGCAGACTGCAGCTGGGGAGGCTGGAGACCTCAGGGAAAGCAATGCTTAGGTTCATGCCAGTACAACAGTACGGACCCAGAAATCACCCTCAGGACACATTTAGCTCATTTGACACATTGCCATCTTTCTGATTTGAATGCACTATGACACATTCTCTAAAATCCTGACTGTGTTCTTACATGTTCCTATAACTGTCCCTCCAAAGCACTGCGTGAGGCCATGCACCTAGGAACCACTGCTCTCCTCTTTGCTTAAGAGGCAGATGAAATCTGAGTGTTCACCCTTGGGTTACCTGTCTCTGGGCAGCTCTGCAGTATTACAGCAGAGCTGGATGCTCCAAGAGGCTCTAGGATACTCTCAAAAATACAAACACACAAAGTACTACTTGATTCAATGGCCTTGACAGAGAAGAGATAGAAGAACAGGGCAGGAGGAGAACGATGCCTAGGTCTGTGAACACCCCGTGTCGAGAGACACCGACACACACTGTGGGCTTGCAGGGCTTTATTCACTCCTCATCCTCAGCCCCCGAGGAGGAAGGACGTGGTTCAATCTCAGGCACGTTTTCCTACACAGACCGTTGGTTTTAAATACAGTAGCACTGCAGGAAAACATGCCAAGACTAGTGGTGAAGAGGCAAAGGAGAGATAATTAAGCCAAGTTTAATTAAATGAATAGTTCTGCAGATTCAAGAGTGCAGTTTTATGGCTCTAACATGGAGTTTGGCCACAAGCATAAGCCCGAGCTGCACAACTACTAACACCCACTGTTTCCAACACATTATCAGCTGTGAAAAGCAGGTCCCCACTGTGCTGGAAGTGCAGCTTTTTAGCAAAACGCTACACAGGCGACTAGCTGTAAAAGCACAAACAAAACAAGAAGTGAAAACCTCTCCTCATCTTTCTGACTGCTTGCCCAGGGCACCTATGATTACTCACTGCTTTCCTCTTGATACACAGGAAACTGCTCAGGTGCTGTACCCTGTCACATCTCCAAAGCCAGTAAATGCTCTAGTTACCTCCATGAGAAGTTGTACCTCCTTGCTCAAGAAATATTGCATATCTAAGTATTTCAGGCTCATATGCTTAAATTACATCCACTCAAATACAAATGTTTCTGCCTGTACTTAAATTTCATGGTTAAAGAAGAACTGGCTTTTAGCTGATGGCTTGTGGGATAAAAATTAGAAGCTCTTTGAAGCTCTTTGAAACTGCTCCTTATTTCTCCCCTCCTGCCAGCTCCAAGAACAGATGAAGACCAAGGTGCTGTAGAAGTGCAGAATGCAACAGGACCATCATCCTCACATGAAGGCTCCCCTTCTGCACACTTGTCTTTGCTTCCATGGAAGAAGCTGATGTAATCTGGGCATCCAGATGGCATGGAGCGTTCAAAGGGCAAAGGATGAGTGAGCAGACCTTAAAGCTGACCAAGAATCAATCTCACAGGCAACCTAACAAGAATTCACACTCAGAATTACCAATTTTAGGAGCTTTTCTCTCTTCACTGACAATATGAGGTCAGCGTACCCCCCAGGTAACCCACGCACCTTAATCCTTAGATCACACAAGCAAACTTCAAGAACAGGCAAAATACTGCACATCTATGTGCTCACGCAGCGGGAGCAGACACGTCTCCCTGGTTTACCCAAGAACAGATCTGTTAGAGAAGGATGTCAGAACGGAAGCGCAGCTAGAGGTTAGAAATGGAGTGGGCATTAGGGAACAACACTTGACTTGTCAGCACACTGGAACTGGTGGGACAGTTTGTCGGTTGTGTGGCAAATTCCCAACTCTAATCAGTTTATATTCTAAGCCAAACAGCTCCGTCCATCTCAGGGTGTCCGGGCAACAGGAGAGCAAAACGACATCTCAGCACAGAGAAGCTGTCTAATCTCAAATCTGGGATCAACAGACCAAGTCCAACAAACTTGGTAAGAAACAGGAGAAAGGGGATCTAGGAAGATACTAACAGACCACAAAGCCACTGAGCACCCATCAATCAATCAGCAACCTTTTTAAGCAATGAATCGAGACTAACAGCTTGGCAGTTTTCACAGCGCATGCAAGGGATTTTAGTAAGGCTGAAACTCCAGTCCTATGTTACAGAGGGTTTAAAACAAAAGTGAAGGTGGAAGAGCATTGAAGGCTCCTCCTCAGGCTCAAAAAGTCCTTGGTCCTATGTTAGAGGATTTAAAACAAAAGTGAAGTGGAAGAGCATTGATGGCTCCTCCTCAGGCTCAAAAAGTCCTTTAATTACTTGGACTCCCTGGAAATCTCCCACTTGCTCATATACATATGTGCATGTGAAACGTATGGACCACATACCGGGACATTTCTGCAATCAGTGACTGCAGAAATGACTGCACGCTGCCCTAGCATCACCTGCCTGGCCCTGCTGAAGGCTGCAGTGCTCTGGCAGCCAAGATGCACTTGGCTTTGGCTACTGAAGTCTACCAACAAAATGCTGAGCTATTCAGCAACGACTTCAAGGAGCAAGACGGGGTCCTGGGGAAGGGCAGCAGGTTCCCTGCAGATCAGCATCTGCAGAACACGCTGCAGCAAATGAGCACAGGAAAATTCAGGGGGAGACTGTTGAAGCAACCGGATACTTTTATGACCATTAATACCATCTAGATCAATGGGAATTAAACCAGAGATTTATGTACTATGTTTCATGGTATTAGATGATCCTTATTGGCATTAGAAGGAATTCTCCCTGCGTTCCATGTGTCCTACACAACTGTTTGGTGTACCTGCCTTGGTGTATAATATTTCCTCCAATTCCTCCCGAAACATCAAGCACTGACCCACGCCAGCGACGAGGAAACGCAGCCTTCCTAACCCCAGGGCTCGTCTCGGCACGGCGAACCTAGTTCTGCTCCATCCACCACACGGCACTGCAAACAGGCGGCTCTGGGAAGAGATGCTGTGCTCACCTTCCAAAGGGTGACGGTCATTCTTTGGTAACTTGGGGGACAGAGGAGCACTGTATGGAGGGGACTCTTGGGAATAGCGCTTTGTACCCCGGCCTGGTCCCTGCAGAGAGCCGTCTAAGGAACTGCTTCTGTCTAGGAAGAGAGAACAAGCCCTATTTAGGAGTGGAGACTTGCTGGGAAATTCAGTCCTGCCAGGGTCATTTCAGACTCGCAGCCACCCCCGTCTCTTAACAACCTGTTAAAACTACAGCCCAACTACATCTGTCAGTGCTTAATATTTTGTATTTTGCTTTGCAGTTTTTATTAGATATAAAAGAGCGCAATAAGCCTAACAGCGAACCGTAGCCACTGTTTGCCTCACTTCATCCCAAGCACCTCACCTGATTAACTTAATCCCATGTCTCCTAATTCTACTCTAGGCTCATCCCACACAATTCCTGCTTCTCCCCACTCTATTCCCCTTTCAAATACTCACAATCTTTAGTCATTTTGAAAATACCCTATGACACACACAGTGCTTGGTTAAACTTTTCACCTTTCCCTAAATGGGTCCCTCAAGCTTCCCAGCCGTCACTGCTCTTTTCCAAACGCTTCCCAAGGACCCCTAAACGGGTCCCTCAAGCTTCCCAGCCGTCACCGCTGCTCTTTTCCAAACGCTTCCCAAGGACGAGGTTCTCCGTACTGCACAACAGTCGCGGCCGGTATTCCAGCCCTGCACACATCAGGCTGAGCTGTGACATGTGTCCTCATGGATGGACAGACACCGAACACAAAGTATCAGGGGATGGATGAACACAGAGCATGGAAGTGCTAACACAGAGGGGGCAGAAGCCAGCAAAGCCATACACCATGTCCTATCCGCACGCAGGATACGGCATGGTCAACGGGAAGCAATGAAGAGGTTTCCATCAGCAACCAGCGTCTCCTGAGCCCTGCAGCCCAACCCAGAGAGAAGGGAAACGCTCACAGACACCAGCAGCCTGGCAGCAGCTGGTGCAGGGCAGGAACGGGCACGGGAGGCCCCACAGAAACACGGGAAGGGAAACCACGGCCGGGCACCCGAGGAGACGCGTTACGTTGAACGGAGAAACAAAGCGGGAAGCGGCTGGGAAGCAGCACGCAGCCACAGCTGTGCAAAGAAAAATGGAGAGGCGGAAAGCGGGGTCCATACTGATCACAGCTGATTTTGGAAAGGAAAGGACAGCTGCTCTTAGCCGGGACTTGTCTACAGGCCCCGTGACTCCATACAGGTAAGAAAAGAAATCACAGTAATATCATCAGAATGGTAAATATCGTCCTCAGAACAACTCACTGAAGAGATGTTTATTGCCCAGATAGAGATCAGAAGCAAATGCTGTTGGAAATGTCCCTGAGTATCTCTGCATGTAAAAGAGAATGAATTCCTTCACCAAATAGTCAACCAAGTGTGATGGTTTTTAAAGGTTCTTTATGGTTTTGTTCTGGGTTGTTTTTCTAAATGATTTGCTTCAGTAATGCAAACAGAAGGTCAGGCTGTAGAAAATAATTCAGGGAATTGTAAGTTAAGTCATAGCCAATTAATGAAAGATTAAACCAAAAGTGGGTTTGTAATGAAGGGTTTTGATTTTAAAGGCCTCATTTTAAGAAAGAAAGGAAATGGATGAGTAGCCAGATCTGAACTCAGTGGTCAGGATGTAGAATGTCAAAAAAGGTAGTGTCCTCAGTTTAAAAGATACCATAGCTGAACTCAGGATGTAGAATGTCAAAAAAAGATAGTGTCCTCAGTTTAAAAGATACCATAAAATTCATGAACTTGTATCCCCATGAGGGGAGACTCGGGAGGAAAGGACCCCACATCCAATCGCATAAATACTCACTTCAAGAAGAATATGAAGAACAAGTGGAAATGCAAAGTACTACAGAGCAAGGAGACACATTTCTGAGCAAAAACAGTGACTTCTACACAGAACTTTTAACAGTCTGACATTTGAGTGCAAAGGAAGACAGCACTATGTCCTCAGCTACGGAAGTAACAAGTGAATGAGAGAAGGTGCAGAGGATACTGTGCAGCAAGGTGAAAGAATCAACAATAATAGTAAAAGAATAAAAAAACGCTTGTTTTGACATCCCGTCCATATCCAGGCAAATCCCTCCCTTTGCTTTGCTTTCAGTTGCAGTGATGCTGAACACAGGAACAAGGCCCAAAGGATAATGGGAACAGAGGAAAAGGAACAAAAACAGACACCTTTGAATAAGAACTAAAAACCAAAAAATTGAACGTATTCACACCTGGGTATTCATACCTAAGGGTAGAGAAGGGAAAAGGCACACATTTAGGCCACACAAAATTAAATTCTAACAAATCTAAGGGAAACACTACTCAATATGGTTGGAAACACAGTGCCTTTAAAAAGGCATGGAAAAAAAGTGTGATCTAGGCAACTAACCGTCCAAGTCTGACCTCAGCAGTAAGGCTTAGAAGAGATTATGAATGAAAGGACAAATAAAATATAGCAGTTAAGAGCACATGGCTTATACTGCGGTATGTGTTCAAAGGTGACTAATCCAGTAACTTCCTTATCAAGGAAAAATAACTGAATTACCAGACAAAGGAAGTGTGGTGATCTCATTCACCTGGAATTCAGCAAGGCATTTGATAAGGAAAACCACCAGCTGAGAAAGAGAGCACGAGGATTAGCAGAACTGTTATGTGAACAGACATCTGGCTGGAGAGGAGAGGCAATCGACAGAGCCCTGTGGAGGAATCTGAGGCTGGAGACCGATCGGCAACACATTTTCCTAAGGATCATTACGGGGCCCAACATCATTAAATATTTTTGTAATGACTTGGGCATCAGTTTTAGAGATTCACTGGTGAAATCTGTGGATGCCTTCCGAAGTTTGGCTAGATACTGTAGAATT